GCAGAAGGTCAGTGTAACAGTGGATTGGATTAAAAAGAGTTTCAAAAAAGAGAACAGAGGAAAAGGTGAGGGAGAAATTAAGGGCAAAATAAGATGAGAATTTGCCAAAACAAAGGATGAACCTTCAAACTTAAAGGGCTGAAGAGACCCCCTCTAAGGCACATCGTTGTGAAATTCAGGACATTTATTAAAGAGAAGATCCTAAAGGCTAATGAAAAGGAAACTAGTCACTACAAAGGATGGGGAGTAAGAATCCATCAGACTTTTCAATCACAGTGCTGAAATACTGAAGACAAAGGAGGAATAAAGGCCTTTAAAATTCTGAGTGAAAATCATTTTGAATCTAGAATTCTGTATCAAAACTATCAACAAAGTATGAAGATAGAATAAATCTGACATGCAAGGATTTGTAAAAATTGATCCATCATACTCCTTTTCTTAGGAAGATACTAGAAATGGGCTCACTAAAATAAGCAAGTAAATCAAGAAAGAGGAAGATGTGGGACTCAGGAAATAGAAGAGGAGAGAAGGTTGGTCCCAGGTTAATAGCCAAGCAGAAGGACTCCAGAGCAACCCTCCATGCTGGGGCAGGAGGATGGAGAGGTGAGTAGGAGGAAGGCATCTAGTAGATTGTCTGCCTACTTTGCCCTTGTATGTAGAAAATTATACTGAGAGGAATTTGTAAGATCTGCTGGGCTTTTGGAGAATATTGTTGTTAGCTGTCATCAAGTAGGCCTCCAACTTATGGTGATTCCATACACAACAGAATGAAACCCTGCCCAGTTCTGTGCCATCCCCTTAATAGGTCATGGAGCAGATCCTTTGTGATCCATAGGATTTCATTGGCTGATTTTCAGAAGTGGATTAGTAGGCCTTTCTTCCTAGTCCATTATAGTCTGGAAGTTCCACTGAAACCTCTTCAGCACCATGGCAACACACAAGCCTCCACTGGCAGGTGGGTGGTGACTGAGCATCAAACCAAGCCTCTTGCATGGAAGGCAAGAATTCTACTACTGAACCACCAGTCCCTGGAGAAAATGAGTGATGGGTGTATTACAAAACAAGCAAATGAAAAAAAGGAAAAAAATTAAGGCAATTATTCAGTGCAGGAGGGGGAAAAAAATGCCAAGGAAGAAAACCTCATCAGAATATGCACATTTCATTGATTCTATGATGCTTGCATTTTCACATTTTAATGAGTGTGAAATCAGGAAGCATCTTTCAGTCAAAGGCATCATATAATATAATCACTATCGGCCGGACAGCTGTTGGGACGTAGTTGGCATTGCTTGTGCAGCCATGAACTTGGTCATTATTCCTGACATTCTGATTAGAGAACACCAACCCCTTGATGTTTCGGTCCACAAACCATTTTAGGATCCTGAGGAAGGAATGTAGGAGAAATATATGTCCCGGCTTATCGGAAAACCTTCTGTGGACACCTTCTGATAAAAGCAAGAAAGTGCCAGCATCCAAACTTGCAGAAGGGGTCAATACTTGCAAGAAAATCCTGGGAACGAGAGTGGAGCACTCTTTAAGAATTGCTGCATCACTGACACCCTGGGTGGTTCAAAGAAGGATGCTGTGGGGGGGTCTGGCACTGACTATCTGAGTAGAAAAGTGATTGGGAAGAGATGAACTCTGCATGCAAAGAGCTTTTGCCAATTAATTTCACTTACATTTTTCTTTTTTGCATGCATAAGGTCATAGATGATAAATATGTATGTCTAAATAGGTCTAAAACATTCTTTCAATAAGTTTACATTAAAAATTTAGATAATAAGAGCATTGTGCCAGAGTTTGATTGGTAGCATTTTTTTTTTCTTTCTTGTTATGTGCAGTCAATTCGGACTCCTATCTAACCTATAGGACAGAGAAGAATTGGACCCATAATATTTATGGGAGCAGATTGTCAGGTCTGTTCTCCTGTGGAACACCTGGTGAGTTCAAACTGCTGACTTTTCATTAGAAGTAAGCACTTAACCATTGTGCCACCGGGGCTCCTTTTCTTTCTTAGTGGTTCGTATTACAATCTGTGGTGTTTTACATTCAGTGGAATCTTGGGAAACCAAAAAAAAAAAACCAAACTCACTGCCGTTGAGTCAGTTCTGACTCATAGCGACCCCTATTGGGTTTCCAAGGCAGTAAATCTTTACAGAAGTTGATTGCCCCATCTTCATTCTGTGGAGTGGCTAGTGGATTTGAACTGCCAATTTTCTGGTTAGCAGTCAAATGCGATAATTTTTACATATTCATAATAGTATAAATAAACAAAAAACAAACCAAACTGACTGCAATCGAGTCAATTCTGACTCATAGTGACCCCCTTTAGGTTTTGAGGCAGTAAATATTTACAGAAGTAGATTGCCCAGTCTTCCTTCCATGAAGTGGCTAGTGGATTTGACCCGCCAACCTTCTGGCTAGCAGTCAAATGCCTTAGGCACTATACCACCAGAGCTCCTTAGTAGTCTAAATAGTGATGTTGATATTAATTAAAAATATGAAATAATTAGAATAAGTGGATGAAGAAGGAGAAATGTGTGTACGTTTTAGGATGGAGAAGAATAGGGATAAAAGGGTATGTAATAAAAATCTTCACCTCCATAATAAGAAGTCGAAAGAGAAAGTCTGAGATTGATGCATAGTTTTTGAGAAATTGGGTGAAAAAACAGGACAAAGAAACAGCTTAGAGTTGAAAGTGGCTATCTTGGAAAATAGGGTTGGGATATAGGGGAAGTGGGTTGCTTTTTTTTTTTAATCAGTTTTTTCATAATAATTAAACTATGTACATTATGACTTTGATAAAAATAATTTAAAAAATAAACAAAATGACTCAAAAAAGTGTGTTCTGTGTTGTTATCCTTATAAATATACATATTCTCTTCAGGCCATATGTTTTAACTTTTCTGTTGAGCAATCTATTCACCCTGAGAGGTTGCAAGATGCAACAGAAAGCACTTAGCTCTGGAGTGTTATCTGTGTTTGCATCTTGAGTCTTTTGCTTACTAGCTGTGTGACCTTGGGCAAGTCACTCAAACTCTCTGGGCCTCAGTTTCCTCATTTGCAAAAGGAGCAAAAAGTGGCCTGTCTCACTGGCTGTTGTGAGGATCAAAGAGAAGAAATGTGTCAAGTCCCTGGCACATGGCTGTCACATTGTTCAGCCCAGTATAATTATACCTAACACCTTTTTATTATATATGCACCCACCCCCTACCCAGTGTGGTTCCCACTCCCTTAGCAGCAAGGCTGAGTCCCTTCAGTGTGCCCCTGTGTGTACAGAGACCTCAAGACCCCAGCAAGGCTCCTCACTCACACAGCCTCTACCACTGCCCATTATGCGGAGCGTTCAGCCAGGACTCTGCCGTGTTTGTAGGTCATTGCTTTTCTCTGCTCCCAGAGGCCCAGAGATTTCTTATTTATATCTCTCTCTCCTCTCACGTCAGGCTTAGCCCGGGAGTTGTTAGGGTCCTTAGTATGACGGTGGCTCAATTGTTTCTGTGTAGTTGAACCCTGTGATTCTGTAGCCAGAAGCCAGGGGTCACTTGCCCTTCTCAAAAGTCTGAGAGAAGCAGGGGCCTGAGCTCCAGGTCTGGCATTGTGGCATTGGCCCAACCTGCTCATAGGTCATCACCCACCTCCTGGGTCCAAAGTCTGCAGAAGTCAGCCCTACTCTGCCCCACAAAGCAGCCACATTGGTGCTGGGGGTGGCTGCAGCCTAGGAAGTGGAGATGAGCAGTGCTGCCCCCTCTCCCATCCCTTCCTCCCCTCCCACACTCCAGCCCTTCCTGCTCTGCAACAGTGACTAAAAAGCTAGAAGGAGTTTTGTTAGAAAGTAAAAGCAGGTGTTTTTTTTTTTTGTTTTTTTTCCTTTTGGATGGCAGAGCTGCTTGCTCAGGGCTCCCTTTCCCAGGACAGGTAGGCAGTTCATGTTTATACATGTGACCCAGAAATATATAATGAGCCACACAGCAGGGATGTTGACATTGCCTGGATGTGAAGGGTATCACTCTTCTCTTCAGCTGCTATTCATAAGCTGAGGTGAGGGGAAGCAGAGTAGAGATAAAACAGGAACAGAGGAGAGAGGGCTCTTGGGTGTATGGGGGACAGCCCTCCACTAATGCCATGGGTACTAGAGAGTGTAGTACTATCTTTGGGTCCATAGTAACAGCTATGTCCTAAACAAATTACCCTACGACAAAGCATGAGTGACATTATAAGGGCAACAAACAGGCAAGTGCAGACAGCAGAGAGTTGTGGGGGCTAGTGTTAGGAAGTCCTAGGCCCTTGAGACTGTGGGATAAAGGGGAAAAAAACAGCCTCTAGAGTCAGAAGAATGTAGATTTAAATCCCTGCCCTATCACTTATGAGCTATATGACCTTAAGCAAGTCGTACGGAACCTCATCTGTTTTCCTCACCTGTTAAGAAAAGAAAAGAAAAACCCAACTACTTTTTAGGGGTACAGTGGGAGCATTAAATATCTGAGGTTCACAAAATCCAGCCTCACCTCCCTTCCTGCCTATTGCTTCTTGAGGGACATCTAGCATATAATCAAGGTATATTTCCTGTTTCCTGCTCAGGCCCTAGGGTGGGACTGAAGGGCCTTCTGGGGTACTTCCAGCTCCCTGGCTAATCTGGGGAGGGAAAGATTGGGGGTCCTAGGACAGAGCTGGACAGGGCTGATGGAGTACAAGGAAGTTGTTACTGCAGGCTTCACACAGAGTGTCCTCTATTCCTGCCTGGAACCTGTGTTGCCCCACCCACTCCCAAGCACATAGGGAGAGTGTTGGGGTAAGGGGATGTCCACTCATTAAAGGTGTCTGGATAAGGACACTGGCAGCTCCATCAGGTAGACACAGATACAGTGAGAAAGGCCCTTACACTGAGGGCTGCCCCTGACCTCTTCATAGCTTCCTGTCCACCCCCGATGTGGGCAGCCCAGCTGTCTGCCTGCCTTGCAGGATGTGGTGCGGCTGTGTGATGCTGTGTGTTCCCTCCGCAGGCCACAGAGTGGGCCTCCAATGAGGACACGCGCCGCTCCTGCCAAAGCAAAGGGAAGACTGAGGTACATGGTCCCAGGGACTGGACTTGGGTGAGGGGGCAGTGTGGGTAGGAGTCCCCTGTCCTTTTTGAGCTGGGGCTTCTTGTACAGGGTCAGGGTGTGGGTCTGTGGGTGGTTGATTCTGAGCATCCATATGGGTGCTGGTGCAGGGACTGGTCGGATGTGAGATTGTGGGAGATGTCTCCAGGGTCCTCGGTGTCTCTGCGGGTGCAATTTGGACTCTCCCAAACTGCTGCCTTAGGAGCAGGTTGGATCTGGGGCAGAGGGGATCGTTTTAGAATGTGGGCCTCTGTGACACAGTGATGTGAGGTAAAGAAACCCAGAGCCACACCTGGATAGCTGTGTCCTCTGTACAACTTTCCCTTCCTACCACAGGAGGAATGTCAGAACTATGTGCGAGTCCTGATCGTCACTGGCCGGAAGGTGTTCATGTGTGGGACCAATGCTTTTTCCCCAGTGTGCTCCAGCAGACAGGTGGGGGCGGCTCAGGGTGGGGCAGGTGGAAGGGGGCACCGAGGGGTCCTCTCCCCCAGGCATAGAGTCTTAGAGTGGAGTTGCCAAATTTAGCAAATAAATAAATAAAGTAAAATATGAATTTAAATTTCAGATGAAGAATGAATAGTGTAAGTATAAGTATGTCTGGTATGTCCCATGCAATATTTGGGATGTACTTAAAAAAAAATCCATGTTTATCTGAAATTCAAATTTAACAGGGCCTCCTGTATTTATCAGCATCCCTATCTTGGAGGGTTCTGACTCAGGGGCAGGGGCCAGAAGCAGACAGAGCTCCAGCCTGGGCCTTTTCCCTCCCTGATGGCTGCTCCCTCAGGGCTGCAGGGTGGGCAATGACAAAGTGGCTGGAGAAGGGGAGAATCCCAGAGAGACCAGGACCCAGGAGGAAACAGAACTAAGGTGGAAACAAGAGGTGGCCTCAGGGAAAAGCTCTCCCGTTTCTTCCTCATCCAGGTGGGAAACCTCAGCCGGACCATTGAGAAGATCAATGGCGTGGCCCGCTGCCCCTACGACCCACGCCACAACTCCACCGCTGTCATCTCCTCCCAGGGGGAGCTCTATGCGGCCACAGTCATCGACTTCTCAGGTCGGGACCCTGCCATCTACCGCAGTCTGGGCAGTGGGCCGCCACTTCGCACTGCCCAGTATAACTCCAAGTGGCTCAATGGTAAGCGGGCCCTAGCCCCAGGGGTCAGGCCAAGCCAACCTATCCTGACCCCCTTCAGGCCTCTTTCTGCCTGAAATCTGAAGGAGCTCACACATGCATGATTAAGGGACAGATCCAGAATAGGGCAGCTGTTTGCCCAAGGACCCTAACATGTCAGATATGGACCTGGGGTGAAAACATAGGTGCTCTGGCTCCCGATTCACAAACCCAAAAGATCCAGAAAAGACAGAGGATGAGCTGTGAGGGGAGAGAAAGAGTTAGGAATTGGTTAGGAAAAAGATTATGGGGAAAAAAGAGATTAAGGGAAGTGCATTATGAAAGTTTTCTGCCCCTTAATGCAAAATCCCTGGTTCTCCACCAGCTAGCTATGTGATCTTGAGCAAGTTACTTAACCTCTCTGTGCCACAATATTCTCATCAGTAAAATGGAGATAATAATAGTACATGCTTCACAGGTTATTATAAGAATCAAATGGGTTAGTCCACATAAAGTATTTATAATAATGTCTGAAACATAAGGAGTGCTCAATTATAAATGTCAACTATTATAACAAGGAGCTCTGGTGGTGTAATGCTTAAGGCATTTGACTGCTAACCAGAAGGTTGGTGGTTCAAACCCACCAGCCACTCCATAGAAGGAGGAGTGGGCAATCTACTTCCGTAAAGATTTACCACCTTGGAAACCTAAAGGGGGTTGCTATGAGTCGGAATCAACTCGATGGCAGTGAGTTTGGGTTTTGTTGTTGTTGTTGTTGCTTATTATTTATAACAAAAAGAGCTCTGGTGGTACTGTGGTTAAGGCATTGGGCTGGTAACCAAAAGGTTGGTGATTTGAACCCACCAGCTGCTCCACAGGAGAAAGACAAGACAGTGTGCTCTGTAAAGATTTACAGCCTTGGAAAATGTATGGGGGTCACTGTGAGTTGGAATCAGCTCAATGACAGTGGGTTCAGTATTACTAGAACTGTGCTTTGTATTGGAAATAGAAACAGGGTTAGCTGGTGGGGGTGTTAGAATGCCCATCTGGGAAAACTGAAGTAGTTGAGTACTCCCCACTTTGCTTCCTTCTTCCTACTGGCCTGACCCCCTCCCCCTTGTTCCTCTTCTTTTCCCCAGAGCCGAACTTTGTGGCAGCCTATGATATTGGGCTGTTTGCATACTTCTTCCTGCGGGAGAACGCAGTAGAGCATGACTGTGGGCGGACCGTGTATTCTCGAGTTGCCCGTGTGTGCAAAAACGATGTGGGAGGCCGCTTCTTGCTGGAGGACACATGGACCACGTTCATGAAGGCCCGGCTCAACTGCTCCCGCCCAGGCGAGGTCCCTTTCTACTATAACGAGCTGCAGAGTGCCTTCCACCTGCCTGAGCAGGACCTCATCTATGGGGTCTTCACCACCAATGTGTGAGTCCCTGACCTTCTGCCACCCCCTTCACTGTATATCAGGGACTCACACTAACCTGGCCTTGAACCTGGTAGCCTTGGGCAAGTTGCCCCCGAGTCCTTGTTTTTCATCTGTAAAACAGTCATTGCAGAGCCTTCTACTCTGGGTTGTCTGAGGATTTCATGACTCACTGCCTCTGGAGGAGTGAGCACTTGTTCTAGGTTGCTATGAAGGGCAAGCTTAGGCCAGATGTGACAGAACTGAAAAGAGATGGATTGTGGTTCCTTGGAGGAAGAATTTGCATTTGCTGAGTGGAATAGCCTGCATTTCATTGAGGGGATAGCAGCCCTGGAAGAGTTCATCAGGGGTGACTAGAGGGATTGGCCTCCAAGGTCCTTCTCAACCTCAGGATTCCATGATTTGCTCAATCTACCCAGCTGGGTCTTCTGGCAATCCTGCTATCAACTACCTTCTGAGGGTATTGCACTGGTAAAAATTGAGAGTCAGACTCCTTTGTCTTTCCCAAAGGTCCTTGGGTGACTCAAATAGTTTGCACTCAACTACTAACTTAGAAGTTAGCAGTTCAAACCCACTCAGTGGTACCTCAGAGGAAAGGGTTAGCAACCTGTTTCCATAAAGATTATAGCCAAGAAAAACCCATGGAGCTGTTCTGCTCTGTAACATAGGGTCAGCATGAGTTGAAATCAACTTGATGGCAACAGGTTTAGTTTGGTTTTGGTTTTTGTTTCCTAGATTGAGGAAAGGTAACCTTCACTGAGATCATGAGACCCTTGTCCCACTGCCTCCTTCTGTGTAAAGACTAACCCACTTGAGTAGTTTCAGTATAGAGAATGACAGCTGGGCAGTGGAGACCAAGGAAAGTGTGTTTGGTACAGAATGCTACCCAGGGTTCTTTGTAAGCACATCAGAAACACAGAGTGGTGTTTGCTTACCTTGGGCCTCATGTAGCAGGCATTGGATGAGGGCCAGGCTAACTATACAAAGGACAGTGTGAGAGAATGGACAGGGATGAGAGTAAGACAGGGAAGCAGGAGCAGAGAGACCATTCAAGCCATGGGGACAGACACAAAGCACAGCCCACACAGGCCATGAGATTCCTGGGCTCACCAGAAGGTGGGGCCCTATGAGCAAAGGGCAGGAGCAGCTGGAGAGGCAGTGACGTTAAAGAAAATGACAACAGTAATGTGATTGTAAATAGTTTATTAAGCAAATATTTATTGAGTGGCTTCTCTGTGCCAGGTGTTGGGTAGGGGGCAGGGGAATACCACTGAACAGTAACAGACATGGCCCTGCCTTCAAGGAGCTTACATTCTAGAGAAGGTAATGGGTATCACAACCTATTTTAATTGTGATGAATGCTACAAAGGAAAAGGGCACTGTGCAGA